AAATTATTTTAAATTCAATATTCAAATTTTAACTCTAGGGTTAGCTAATTTTGTTAACTTCTACTAATTTTTGTTGCAACCATCGTCGGATTGACAAGGTATCGGCCTACCGAGTTTTATTACAGCTACAGTTATCGTACGGTTAAATAATTTAATTCAATTATATTTTTTACTAATGTTCTTGTACTAATTTATCATTATTATAAAAAGACAAAATTAAAACTTAAAACTCATGACCGGCCCACTGGGTTTTACTCGGTAACTCGCCGCGCCTATTCGGCCCTAGTTGCGAAGGTTCTTTTTTATTGTATATAATATAGAACAACTCATCTATAAACTTTATAGAAACAATTTTTGTGGACGATATATAATTTATAAACTTGAAAGAAAACTATAATTTTGTTATTATATTGTATCTCGAAAGCAATCGGTTAATTAATCTTGGGCTTCTTCTACTTAGAAATAATGCTGTAAAACACACCATCATCCGTGTATATTAAAGTTTTCGCGAGCGTGCGTGTTTGTTTAATATTCATAATAATATTATATTATACTATTACACATATAATATATATTACGGGAAAAGTATACAATTTGGGCGTTTTCTACAATGCTCGGGTATTATATAAATTGTCATCCATATATTGGGCAATTTATGTAATAAAATATTTAATCGTAAGGTATAGATTCTTATGCTGTCTCTTTGAGTGAAGTTTTGGTTTTTGCCACATAATCGACTTCCAGAAATCTTCCTTTTCAAATTACAAATTATATATTATGTCATTTATAATGTGTGGACTGTTCCATTGTAAAAAAGCCAATAAGAACAAACAAAGTTATTATATTTTCTAATAATATAATTATTATAGTATACATATATATCTTTATTCATTATAATATTTTAACTTGACTTTTCGATTAAATATTATATTATATTATATTATATATTGCCCAGTATACTAAGGGCATTGTAGAAAACGCCCAAATTGTAAACGTAGCCCGTAACATACATAATATGGTTTAGGTAAGTTATAAGTTGTATCTAACGTTGCTTATAAATGTAGTGTATTTGGAGCTCTCAGCTTATATCCTTAGGTAGGTATCTACTCCTAAAATGTATTCCTACTTAATACCTGCAATCCGATTGTTGTATATATTTATATTATATAGAATCATTGTTGTCAAATAAACATCCCCGTGATATCTTAATATGACAATATTAACTGCCAGTATGGCAGCTGTACACCCATTATAATTATTTACTCGGCCATGAATTATACAGTCTCGTGTATATGCATGTATATACTATATATATTATATACGTGTGTCAATATGCTTATCACTGTACTACTACAGTCTATTCTGTAAATATAAGGTATTGTACACAGAAACGTTCGTACTTCAGTAAGGTTATGTGCAAATGAAACCTAGAAAATTATTTGAATCTGAGTAAGTTATTCGCTGATCTATGGATCTACTTTTGTATCCGCTCCATCTGATTTTACAGTATAAAATAGATGTTATGTTGAATGTTATTATTTTTATTTTTTCTGGCGTTATGCTAGTTTAAAAATGCACTATGTGTTTCATTTGTTGTTGAGCAATATATTTAGCCATAAGGTACTTACTCTGAACAAACTCCTTCATTTTTTGTATAGAAATATTATTTTTATATAATTATATATGAATAATTATCTTGTTCTATTGTAGTCTGTAGGATTTCATAGTAAATTTGGAAATTAATATTATATACCTATAAAATAATACTTATATAAAAAGTATATAAATCTAAATTTCTGGGTGTGCCAACCTTACGAATATATCTTACATGTCAATTATTTTTGAATTTTATTTTGTTTTCAATTTTTCTATTTATTAATTACGTATTATATTTTTGAATTTTCAAGCTTTTTAATTGTATTACATACGCGTGTACTATGTATTAGTTATAATTTAATTTATTCATAATTTTTAATTATTTAGTTATTTATTTGGTTAAAATTTCATATTTAAATATAAACTAAAAGAGGGGGTAAGTTTTTAACTGCTTTGTTTCCAGTAAGTATCGAGTTTACCTTGCATTTGGTCTCATAATTGATTAAGTCACTGTAATGCGTGTATTAAATTTGAATTAAATAATAAATTATTGCATACAAAAAACGATTTTAAGTAAAGATGGTTTATCTGCAGCCTATATTACTAAGCAGATTTTATGAAATTATAATATATTTATATTGCTATTAAAGTAATTTATTTTACTATTAGTAATTAATATTAGTAATACAGTTGACGATTGAATTAATTTTTGCTGAAAATATTATATTTTAAAATTTTATTGCAAGTATAAAATATAATAATATACGTTAAAACTTTCAAATTCCCAAGTATTCTTTTCAACTATAAAAAGTGTCCCAAAAAAACAAAAAATAACTTTTTTATATTCAATATTATATTCTTTGCTCTGCACAGAATTTAAAAATGTTTGCTAAAAATCTTATAACTTTACTGTGCAATATTCGAAAGTAAAACCAATAGATTAAAAGACATATTATTTATTAGATTTTGACCAAACTATGTTGGTTTCTATTTGGTATACACCATTTTTTGTTTTATTTTTATCTTCATACTACGTGCACATTTACAATTTATACATTTAAAAATTATATAATAATATATTGGATGCTGTATGTTTAGTCGTGTCTTCCTTTAGCGGCTCATGAAAGAACGTGAAAACCCGAGGTCCACTCTGTATAATATCGTATAGTGTCAGTTATGTTTTTTTTTTTATAGATTTAATTTAATTGAATCGGCTTTTCGTTTATTATTATTGTTCTTTTTATTAGTCTCTTGAAAAGTACAGGCTTGTGCTCTATAGCTGATATATAATAATAAACTTAGTACAAAAGGTCGATTTTTGCTATATTTATTTTTAGTCAATTTTTATGTTTTTCTTTAAAGTATAATCTAGTTGTTATGCCGGGTCCACGTAATAAAATAGTCAACAAAACTCAGTTTTTCGATCTTAGACAAAATATTTAAATTGTTTTTAAAAACACATTGTTTTGTTTTAATTTTGTTGCCTATGTGTGGTCCCGGTTTTTCATTTTTATAAATTACATAAAATATTGTTGGTTTTATTCAAAATAACAAATCATATTTTTATAACTTAATATTCTGAAACAATTTTTTTCCTTAAAAATCAATTCAATTCTATATTATACATAGCCTCATAGATAATGCATAAAATTGTGGTTGGTGTATGTATTAAAAATATTGTTTTTTTTTTGTATTTATATATATATATATATAGGTACTATTTTATAATCTCCTGTTGGGATCGCAGTACAATGATAGTTTTTTTTTTTAATTAAACTCTATCTTATTTATCAGTTGTTTTGTTTACAACCCCATTATAAATTAATGGATTATATATTCAATTATTTAAGTTCTTTTAAAGTACGAATGTCGAATATTATTCTTGTTTTATATTTTTTACGCGAATAATGCGTTCTTTTTTATAAGGTCGTTTGCTTCAGAATATACTCATAATACAAAATTTCTTATGCATCCATTGTATACGATATATTGATACGTAGTAGTATAGAAGCCCATATGTTGGGTTTTTATTTTTGATATTGCTTTTTTTTTTAAGAAAAATGTAAACCTTTTATATCACCCAGCTTTACGCATGCATAGTTACATATGACTATGAATATTCAATTTGTATCTCGTATATATATTATTATTATATGCGTGTATATCTCATCGACAGTTATATTGAGATATATTATTAACAAATATAGTGAATTAGACAGCAATCTCTCTCATCAAAAATGTTTTGAATATCTTACAGTATAAATTCCTAATCGCTCGATATGTATTTTGGTATAATATTATGTTTTATTTATCATAAGTACTATTACTATATAACATATTATACTCAACATAGTATAAGTAGTAAGTACGCTACACACATATACAAGAATATTATCATGTACTTACATAATTTATTAACAAATTCGAAATTATTTAGTCTGCTAAATGTATTATTATTAATACCACAGCTATATTATATTTTAATGTAATAATTAACGAGGCCAGTTGTTGGTCCGATCTCTTATATTTATAAATTCGTTTATTCAATGTAATATCATAATAATAATAATTTATTTATTTAGCTTTGTCAAATTATATTATAATATATTTTTAAAAATGATTTTAGATATATCATTATCGTCCATTCAGCAAAAATATTGTAATAAACTTTAATTGAGAGGGACGATTCCTTCAAATTAGTTGTAGGTTAAATTAATTTAAATATAGGTACCTATATTTTATATTTATGTAAAACACTCTCGACTCGTGAAACTTATAATGTTTGTGCACTCCATTTATAAAGTAAACAAATTTAATGTAATACATCACGTAACTTATGACTCAAACTCAATACATCACCTAGATAATGTATATACATTATCTTTTCATCCTTTGTGTAAAAAAATATTACACAATACATCAATAAATTCACATTTTTTAAGATAAAATAATGTTTGTTTAAAATAAAGCTATCACACAACGATCAATTTAAATTAAGTTAATTTCAACATATGCAATATATCATGCTCAAAACCATGATGTAATTACAGCAATAATATTCACTCAGTGTTGCTATTCTCAAATAAATCAATAACAGATGTTCTAGTAAAATTCGTGGGAAACATGAATGTTTTTTTATGTTTTTATAAATATCCGTGTATAGATTATGTAAGTATAATCGCGAACAGTTTTACGGATACATTTGAATGGATTAATATATACTATGTCCAACGCGTTGGCTAATCAATTAACTCTACTGCAATAATGATTATATCATAACAATACAAATTTGACGAACGTATAGTTTATAGTAGTTGATATTTTCTAATTGTTTGACTGTATTGCCTCATAAGGTTTCAAAACTTACTACATTTTTTTATTTTGTTTGTTTATACGTTCATTAGCAAAGTGAAAATCCGATCGTCAATCAGCAACAGGAATCAATGGTCAACGCGACGGCGATTGCGGGAGGACTGCCACCATTGCAACAACAACAGCAGCAGCAACCACAGGAAGAAGGGACAACGACGCACCAACGGACGCTCGAGGAGTCGTTTAGGAACGATTTGAACGTCTAAAACGTCAACAGATGCAACTTAACCTGCCACTGTACTTTATACAAATGTTCCACACCCGTTAACGAGTATTATACCTATAAATCATGTATTTGTATTAACACAATATACTTGTAACGCTCTGTCGATAGCCAAAATCTGTACACGGGTACCTAATGTTCGACAAAAAAATCTAAAATTTATATAATAAACATCAGACACCATTTATACAGATTATTTATATAGGTATGGATGTTTTTCGTCGTTTTTGAATAAAAAATAAGTCATTGTATTATTTTTTACCTCTGTATCAATATATATTAAATAACCTATTAATACTGTTGTTTTTTTTTTTTTTTTTGTTACAATATAGTATAAAGAAGAGGAGGTTACCGTTAAAAAAAAATTGTCTATTACAATTCGTTGGTTTTTTCTATTTATATTGTTATTATTAGACATTTCCGTCCACGGTCGTCAATTATAATATTATACGCTCGCGCGCGCGGACCGTCAATTGAACTTAATTACGCGACCTCTGCGCCGCCGCTGTCCCTACTGACTGCACGTACAACACTTGCGCGAATTGAACTCGGCCAAACAACTGAAATTGGTTTTAGTATAATAAAGTATTATACGAATTATTATATTGTTCGCAATCGTTGCTCGCCACCACCACCACCTCCGCCTTACTATGCGAAACAGCTGACATCTGCGTTACCCCGTGCATACCCATCGTTGTTATTGGATGGATGAGAGAAGTGAAAGAGCAAAAGCGCCACTCCGCTAAAACGAATAGATGAACCTCTTCAAAAATATCGCTTACGCCTCGATATTTTTCATTTTTTGTGTGGCAACGTAATTTTGGAATTCGCATCCGTTACGGAATGAATGAACGTCGTACGATTCGTACGAATGGATGGTAGATCCGACACGGAGAATATAATATTATGTGATATTATGATATTTATTTAATAAAATATTGACAGCGTGCAGTTATTAATCGTCGTGTTTTTTCGTTTATTTGTTGAATAAATAGGAATTTAATAACGGATGAGTACTGACTATGAATAAAATAAAATGTATAATTATATTTAATAGGCAATTTAATTTGTATTTTAAAATACATATTGTAATGTTTACAATAAGTAATAACATATGAATTACAAATGAATTAAGCGTTATAAATCATTAAAAACAGTAAGAGTTATTACTGTAAAAGAAAAAGTACACAAAAAAAAAACAATATTGAAAAACTCGAGAAAGGGAAGGATGATAAAAAAAAATAAAATACTATAGACATAACTGTAGAGTTATTGAAATTTAATAAACGAAAGTTTTACGCATTTTTTATAGAGAATATTTAAAAGAGTTAATCGATAGTTGACTGTAACTATGGTAATGTAAAAAAGACTAGCATATCTATATAAGGTCAAGATTTAAGATCCTAACACTCAGCAGGGTGGAAGGGAAAGTAAATATGTGATATGTAGCAGAGTTAGGAGGGCGAAAAAATTACGAAGACCCTTAAATGTTATTCAAGATTTTACAATGAGTTAATGAATTACTAACGACTGCGCAAGAATTAATTCTTCGAGTGGCCAAGATAAATTTTATAAAATCTAATATAAAAAGTTTTAACTTGACTTAACTATTACTTTACTTTATTTTACCATTTAGTGTTTGTTCATTTAATTATATGCGTATTCGTTTGATTTTGCTATTTACTTAACTAATTATAAATAAATTTCAGATTTATATTTATCAACCAAAAACTAAAAGTATCATAACTTTCACTCAAGTAAAATTCCGAGACATTGTTATGTGAACGATTAAAACAGTAAAAACACAAGGACTTCTTAAAGATATGCCATACAAGTTCCTAAACCTATATAACATCCTAAAAATCCTAGATAAATAAATAATAACCATATAATTTTATATAATAAAAACTTATAGGGTATAATTGTGAAGCATTTAAAACGGATAAACGACATGGAAGAAAGCACGATGGCAGTAATAGTTTTGAATTTCTATATCCAAACATCAATTCATGAACATAAAATACGATTTGTGTTCTATTAGTAGTAGCTTTTGTAATAAATTAATAATCGCCAATCAGCCCTTAAGAAGGGATAAACTATAAAGAATAATGATATGTAAAATATAATAAATTAAAAATACTCATGTTTGAGTTTCGTTTAGAAATTAAAATATTGAAAAAAGTTGACATCTAAGCATGGACAATATTCTTACTTTTATGTTTGATAGCAGGTCAATTCACTTTAATTTAAGCTAATAACACAAAATTGATCGTGCTGAACTGAAATTGTTTATACGTCTTACGTTCGTAAAGACTAAGAAAACACATAGGTATATAGAGTCCTTTTAAAAACTTACAACCACGAGGACCTAATAATAACTTTGTTGCAGCTCAAGTTTAACAGGAAAATATCTCTTATGCAGATATATTGTTGTAGCCTTGACGATTATGTACTCAGCTATGTAAACCGATAGTATTCTATTAAAAACTGAAAGAATTATTCTGATCGGTCGTTTTTTATGCCACTAAGGTAATGGATAGTGTTCATATGAAACAGTGTCCACATTTTTAATGTTCTTTAAATGCTTTTTATTTATAGAATATTAAAGAAAAAAATAAATACAATTTCTAAATTATGTATGGCTTCTGAGCACATTTTACTTAACCTAATACGTAAATATAAAGCCGATTGATCTAATCGGCGTACTTAAAATTGTATAAAAACAATTCAGTCAACAATATAAAATTCACGCGTTTAGACTAAAAAAAAAAACTTTGGCTTACATATTTAACTCTTATTTTAGAGGGATGCCATTTATAGGTACCCATAAATCTCAATCGGTCTTAAATGTGTACAATACACTAAATACCTATAAGTACCCTCACTGATAATAAATTATTCTAGGTACTGATAATTTTATCTCGAAGCTCATACTCATACTGTGATAAAATAAACTATTCGATTGAGTGTAGGCGAAAATTCACATTCAACAATTTTCATCATATTTAAAATAAAAATAATTTATACGATGGTACCTATACTATTTATGCTATGTAAGATAGAAAACTAGATCGAACAAATTGATATTTATTCGTTTCCTGTGAATGTTATACGTTTAAACTAAAATTGTTTTGTTCCATTTTTTTCTTCGATATTAAGTTATTTTTACAATAATAATTTGTACATGCCCATGTACTGTAAGTTGCAATGAGCCTAATTAAAGAAATAAAAACATTGAAATTTTTTTCTTACACCCCACCGAGCGCACCATTATGATATCGAAATATGATGCCGACAATTAGGTAGATGTGCGGCGTGGTTTTAAAGCATAGAATTTTCATTATCTTTATTGTTTACTATAGCTGGTTGTTTTGTTATTAAAAAATGTATAATTTATGTTATTATGCAATTTTTAAAACACCATCATTAATCTTAATACTACAACGTCGAACGTTCAATATATATATTTGACAACCTTGAGAGTAAAGTTCGACATACACACCTATATATATATATTTAGAATATGAATAAATGTATTGAAATGTACTTCAAGTAAATATATGTAGATACTCTTCAGTATTTTATTATTACTTATAAGTTAAATAGTTATACTGTATAATAACTGACCATATTGTTTAGATTTATTACAAAGATAATACTATAATTATAATATATATTATGGTATTCATGAACACAATTTATTCGTATATAAATACTTATATTTATTCTTTTTGTTATTTCTAGTTTTGTATGTATACAAGCGAGTAGCAACGGTTTATTGTCGTTAGTTCATATTTATAGGTTTACGTAAAATAATTAGGTCGAATGAAATTTTAAATATTTGTTAAATCAAGTGTTTTAGCTTTGCAGTTGTATACTTTATACCTAAATACGATATATCGCTCATCTTTGAGTGAATTACAGCCATTAATTGTATATTTATATAGAATCAGCAGCTCATCATAAAATAATAGCGTGAGTGATAGGGAATTGGCAGGTGAGTCATGGCCCACGGATTAAGACTTAAGAGTGTTATGACTTATGAACCACTCCGTCCAAACAGATTTTTTCATTTTTAGCAAGAAAACAACCTCTATTTTAGTAAATACAAGTGAAATTTTTAGTTTGTATTTTTTTTTTTATTTAAGAAGCCATTATACGAAATACACCTATTATGTGGTTATAACTATATCTAGTAAATATAGTATATTATACAATATAATATATTGTACCTATACCTACCTTTTTTTCTGCTAGAACATATTACTTTCTGTAGAGCTGTGTGACCATAATTATTCAATAATTAGGTATAAATATATTTTTTTAATTTATACGATAAATTATTTTTCAATAATGATTTGGTAGCTATTAATGATAGTTTAAATACAGCTGACGCGAATAGACTAAATTTCCAAGAAATTTGAAGCTATAAATATGATTTATGACGTGAGATACGTTCATTATGTATTGTGCCGGATTAATGTTCAGGCCATACTAACAGAGCTGCGCCTAGAAGAATCTTAATTTCTAACCGTGTACTGTGAGAGGCAATAATAAGTTTCTTTTCTAATATTGAAGGTAACAACATACTAAATACTGTAGAATGTAATCATTTCAATTATTTATCCTTTTAACTGAAGATGTCACATTAGTTTATCATAAATATAAAATAATAAAATGTCATCTTTTATAAATAAACAAAAATATTTCCGTGACGTTTCTTCTGACAACAGCGATTCTAACTTTTGAAAATGTAATTATTAAATATACTTACAAATTGTTCAAAAGAGTCTTCTATTCCGGTTTTAAAACGCATATAAAGTGTTTAAGGTCCACAACTACAAACACTCGATTTTAAATTCGTTATCTCATCTATTAAACATAGATCATAGAAAATCATATTCTTCGAATATCGTAATTTTAACGTTTAAACACGGATGTTTTTTGTACTTTTAAGATTGATAATAGATCAATTCACTTTAATGTTAAAGCCTGTCACAAAATTAGTTTTAGTGAACACACATTTTACGATTTTTTTCGTTTGTAAGACAGTAACTACACATGCAGATAAGAAGTTACATTTCGTTATTAATTATTATACAAATGTATAATAATTATAATAGTAGTTTCATCATGCAAATCTGATTTATTTAATATCTAAATGTTTTATAATAAAAGGAATTTTTATAAATATCCGTGACAACGTTGAAGGAGAACT